GATCCTTTCTTCAAGAGACGACACTAATTGTCTCAATGTTTCTATCTCAGGAGCTCGGCCAGTCTTAAGCGATTTAGATAATGCTTGACAGTACCTAAAAATCAGAAATGATAAGCCACCAGCAGTAAGGATTTCCAAAAAATTTAAAGTAGAAGTAAAATCTTGGATACATACTTCAATGCATCTGGTGTTCTCCCAACTTCAGCCAACATGTGTGCATATACAAGCTTGTAAGGTTGAAAAGGAGGAAGAATAAATTGAGAGTTTCCAAGCACCTTTGAGTATTCATATATCTCAGTCCTCTGTCAACACAGTATTTCATCAGTCAGCATATTCACTTGCATTACTCCACTAATGCAGCAGTAGCACAGAGCAAACAGATAGAAGCAGCAAAAGAATGTTTCATTTTTTGTTCTTTATGAAAGGCAACTTAATAGGACCTGAATAGCTTCTGGACTAGCATAAGTTCGGGGGAATTTCCAGTGATCAGCGCCGACAAGACACAATCTTGCACTGTCTGAATATGGTTCAATGTTTGCTTCTGCCACCAGATAACAAATGTGTGCAGCAACAATCTGAATCACAATATTAAAGTATGAAGCATACAGACACAGCATAGGAGATATTCTAAAGAATGAGAATATGAATATGAAGCAGAATACATACATCACTTCTCTCTTTCCACAAACAATCACCAAGATGAACAAGCACCAATTCATCATCCTTTGTTCTATTTGCAGTGATCACAGCCAAATTCTCCTCCCAATCGTCAAGCATGACATTAGCACCAAACTAAGATAAATAGAAGAATAATCAAAACAAGCTAATATTCCCAGCAAAGTATTCACTAAATCTTTAATAGATTAATAAACTAAAGGGAAATAACAAAAATAGAATATTTTCACAAAATGCCGAAGAAGAAAAAAGTGATCTACATATCATCTGTATTTTACTACAGAAATGTAAGGGTTATGCAAATAGTTTTACACCTCTGACAAAAACACCCTATCCTCAAAAAGGCGGTAAATAACTGTTTAACCTCAAAAGAGTGGAACTCTTCCGCGGAACTGATAAGTCAAAACACATACTTGTGGTTCCACTTGACTATCACTAATAATGTCTTGTTATGATCTGGAATGCTCTCTAAACTTTAACTTTATATGCATGTTTTCAAATTTAAAAAGTCAAATAACTGTTATGTCTCTTTATTCTGTAATAGTATTGATTTTGTAGAATCTAGTTAAAGCGAAGAGATACTTGAATATATATATTTGCCAGGATCCAAACCTACTAAAAAATATATATCTTACTAGGATCCCATTCCAGGGGCTAAGGAAAATCATGTAAAAATATGTTGAAGCTGAAAGGTAAAGCCAGCAAGCCAAGAAAATAACAGCTGTAATAGAGCTATAAACACACACCTGAGCAGGCTGTTGAGCGACATTTGCGGCAATGGGCATGCCACTTGGAGCTGCAGATTCTGGATTAAAGACATCAGCTGGTTGACCTGCAATTAGTAGGCAGAGTGTCCGCAAAGGTGATCCTGCTGTTAATTGCCGGAGTGCCATTTGCTTCACAGTTTCGACATAAAACTACAATTGTTCGTAAAACGATAATGCATTAGTACAAAGAGGAATAAAATGAAGAGGCTGGATTGTGGAGAACCGGACAAACCTGATCACCAAGCTGTGCAGCGAGAACAAGAGCTGGACCCCATAACTGACCCTCTTGTGCACATTGCAATGCTTCTTTCTTTCTTCCAGAAACTAGAAGACTTTGAACTTCAGCAGCAGTAGTCTAAAGCATGTCCAAAAATATTAGCTGATCAAGCAAATAATCAACTTAGCAACTAGGAAATAAAGATATAAAATAATTACCCGCAACTGTCCTTCAGAAGGCAATTGCTGCAAGCACTGGGAAACAGTGCCATATTGGCTGAATTGTGTACCATTCAGCTTCAGAGATGCAAACAATTTGGCAACTGCTGTTTCTGGAGCATCTTCCTGCTCAAATTACCAAACCAAATTAGCAATAGCAACTGGTAAGTTGAAACTGTAAGTGCCATATCATTAAGACATGGCTGCAGAAACAAAGAATGAGAAAAGATTTAGATCAAATGAGGTGTCACATCTTCACGCAGTGGAAATCACCAAATAGAGCATAGGTTAATAAAACAGTCCTCTATTCCTAAAGTTTGCTTTCACCTAATCATCAAAGTAGACACAAACTAGAAAAAGTAAAGTTCTCTTGCATCTTGCATCGCAAATTAGTGCAAATCATTACACTTTGCAAGATACGCTTTGTCTCGCAACAATTTGTCCCCTAAGCTCTTCTTTCCCAGCACATATGCAGCCTGCTTCACAATTTTGCTCAAAGAGTAGAGCTGAAGGCCTAAAGAAATATTTCTTTGTTATTTCTCTCTTGTTCCGCATTTGTTTGCTGACTTTCTGTTTAGTATGTCCAAAATGTTGACCTCTTTCCTGAAATGGCACATTTCAAACTAACTAAAACTATGTACTGCTTTATGTAATTTCAAATTTCATGTGACATCACCAACTTCTCTACTTTTCATATTTCAAGTTATTATTTAAACTCGATATAATAATCGATAAAAACAATACTTGTAGATTGTGTGAGTGTCAAGGTAGGTTCCAAATTGTGGCAGGTGGAATATTTCTCAGGAACTTTCTTTGCGGTCCCACCGAATGCCTTCATTACTTCCGGGACAGGACTTGCACATTAACATGCTGCTAGTATGTACAATTCCTCTTTTAGGTTGATAGTTTAATAATAAAGCATGACAGCATTTATAACTAATTACAAGGCATGTTATGAGAAAAATTCATTTCCACTTTACCTTCAACAAAGTATCAGTACCAAATGGGGATCGAAGTTTCCCATAGTATTGACATGCTATTTTCAGCAATGTCAGAAGCAACCTCAAAACTTCCCCTTTCCTGTAATCCACGTCAGGGAATAAAGGGTTTGCAATCCTCTCGTCAATCCATTTATTCAACTCCTTAATACCAGCATTTCCACCAACCAAAGGACCAGGGAATGGATTTCGGCAGAGAGTTTGGATATAATCACATGCCCCAGTTGCAAGGCTTGAACTGTCGATTCTCTCTGACATCACATCCATCAAGTTAAGCACAGATATTGAACCTCCAACGGGATTCTTCATAGAGCACGCACAAACACTTTCAGCAATTAGTAAGAGTTTTGCACTTCAAAAATAGTTAAAAGAAAGACTGTTAGGTAGGAGCATAACAGTCGAGTCTAACCTGGCTGCCAAAGGATGAGCTATCATAAGAGCAATTATCTTTCATCACGATCAGCTTTCCACCAAAACCAAAGGTGACCAAAGCATGAGGAGGACGTCCAGCAGATGATCTTCCTGTGGTAGGAGCATAAGGATATTGCTGGGTGTTCTGAAATGCTTGTGGGGAATAATTGACTGTGTTTTGACTTCCGTAATAATCACTTGAGAGATGCTTCTGCTCGTTTTGCTGCATTGTCGGCTGAGTAAATTGCTGATTAAAGCCCTGTGACCCAGCTATTGCTGAGAAATTACCTTGAGTTTGATTTGATTTCCCATGGTATGAAACTGTTCCCTCATACTGATTAGACATTTGCGGATTAACATGGCTGCTAGCAGAAATCTCTTGGCTGTAGTGATTCTCCAATGGCTGGTTCCCCCTATATTCTGACACAGGCTCACTCTTGGCAACATTTTCAGTTTGCCACACATTTGAGTTTTGCTGATTGTATTTACCAAAAGACCCATTGTAATCATGCCCTCCACTGCCAAATACTATGGATCTACTATTCTCATTCTGCCCATATGCACCATAAAAACTTTGATCGTGATTGGGAGAAAAATCTTCAGATGATACCCAACCATTCTGATTCTGCTGGCTCTCACCTTGAATAGTTGATTGAGTAGATGAAGTATACGTGTCGAGAGAGCGCCACTCCATGGCAGTGGTATCATAGTACCAACCGGGGTATTGAGGATCAAAAACCATATGCGAAGGGTATCCATTGTTTACTTCTGAAGCTTGATTCCACTCAGTCGTAACCCCACCTCCATCACTCGACTGAGACACCTGATTCCAGCCTGTCACTACCCCGTTCGCATCACTTGCCTGAGAAACTTGGTGGTTCCAATTCGCTGCATTCTCAGTCGCATCACTTACCTGGTGAACCTGATTCCAATTATTGACACTTTCAGTGGTCCCGCTCTCGGCTACAGTCCCAGCAACAGACTGAGAAGCTTGCTGTAAGTAAGAGACTTCTGACTTTCCATCAGAAACAGTCCAGTCAGCAGCAGAATTATCTTGTACATTGGCTGTTGAGTCATAACTAGAGACCTGATACCACTGCCCAGTATTTACATCAAACTTCCATCCTGGATAAAGATTCTCCCAATATTGACTGTTATTTTGATCTTCCCCGCCTGCAACTTGTTCCGTAGTCGCATTATAGCCAAAACCATCTTGATTCTGCTGCATGTAGGAACTAGAACTGTCGAAATTCGCGGAATCATTAACTTGATCAGCTGATACAACATTTGACCCCACATTTTGATTCTCCCCTGTGTTTCCAATAACAACTCCAGTATTATTATTATTCCCCAATTCACTGAAAAAGTCAGAGTAAGATCCAAAAACCTCTGTATCACCATCTGTAGCTGGATTAGAATGAAACACACTCCAGTCAACCTCCTTTACACCTGGATTGGCGGATCCACTAGCGTGATTTTCCTCCTCCTCCTTTACGTCAGGATTAACGGATCCGCTAGTATGACTTTCCGACAAATCAGTAGTTACATCAGTCTCCAAATCACCATTGCTCGACTCAAGCAAACTATCTAATCCGCCCGAAGTCAATGACACTAAGGAACCACTACTCTTCTCTCTATCCCCTCCCTTCATCGCCAAAGGCGGTTTCACATCACTATCAACTGTTTTATCATCCCAAGTTCCTTCCTTTTTAACTCCACCTAAATTTTCCAATCCAGCATTATCAATAACATTATCACTAATACTAAGATTAGCAAATGCTTTAACCTCATCAGATTCATTCCCATCAACCGACACTGGTGCAGTTACCTTAAAATCAATGTCATCATCATCATCATTCACCAATTTATCAAAGAAATCTTCATCTGTTTGATCCTCCACCATAAATGGAGGATTTGAAGCCATTTACTCCCCCAAACCCTAACCCTAACCCTAACCCCAACAAAATTCTCTAATTCAAATCCCAATTAAATAAAAAAAAGCCCAAATGTTGAGATCCAAAAAAAACCCTTTTTTTATTTAATCCAAGAAAACAAAAATACAACAAGATCTAGGGTTTTCTTAAGATACCCAGAAAGGAAAAAAAACAAAAAAATTGGGGAAATTGTTGCTTCAATTTAAAGAATCAGATTAATAGGGGAAAAAGCGAAAATTTATTGAACAAACTAAATTAACTTACAGATCGTGAAGCAAATTTCACCGAAGCTAATTTGGCCTATATATGTATATATATCAATAAAATACAAAAAGAAAACATTCAAATATTTATATATGCATGTTTTCTTCTATTCCTATTTAAGATGTGAGAAGAGGGGAGAAGAAGACAAGCCCTCGTATGCACCAAAAAGTCCCCAACTTTCAACTACCCATAAAAAATTAAAATAAAATAAAAAATTTAATATAAAAAAATACTTGGACTAATTTATATTTTTGCATATGCAAATAGTTCAGACTATATTTTTTTTATATCACTGATGTAATACTCGCTTTGAATCCAATTAATTTAAATTTACATTGAGAAGTCCCACTTAGGATAAAACACTTTTTATAAAAGACATCTCTATATTCAGGGTTGATTTTAAGCCTGATACCGTTAATAGCAAATTTTGCAATATTTTCCGGCATAAAAATGAAATTAACAATTTAATAGTAATTTTTTACACTCTCAATATAATTAATTGATTATAATATGTTACTACTCTTATCAAACTTTATACTGTTACCCATAATTAACTTTGTGGTAGTCTAAGTAAATATTCTCTATATTGGATGTGTATAATAATAAAATTTCTTTTTTTTTTGTCCTACTCACCTATTTGGGATTAAAAAAAAAAGGGGACCTCTCTCTGTCCTAGATTTGCTGGCAATAAATAGAAAGTGACAGATTTGGTAGAATTTGACTTGATGATTGCCACGCAGCAATTCTCTAATAGCCCTTTGACCAAACTGCAAAAATAAATTTATTTTGAGAAGTGTTTTTTTTTTAAGTATTTTTCTCAGGAATATTTTGGCGAGAAGCAGTTTATTTTTGACTAATTAGTTTGAAAAACACTTCTGAACAACAACTAATGTTTGACTAAACTTTAAAAAATTGCTTCTAAGTGTATTTTTCTCAAAAGTACTTCTCAAAAAAGTGCTTCTCAAAAAAGTGCTTTTGGAGAGAAACTACTTTTTTCTGCTTCTCCAAAACTGCTTCTGTTTTTCCTCAAAAACATTTTTTTTTCTTCCAAAAGCTTGGCCAAAACACCTCAATTTTTGGCCAAAAGTGCTTTTGGAAAAAAAAAAGAACATTTTTGGCCAAAAAAAACTTGGCCAAACAAGCTAAGTGGCTGGGACATGTCATATTTAATAAAACTTTATTTATTGAGGCATGTTTTAATTTTTCTTTTCACCGGTTAATAGTCCTAATTTAATTGTATTAACATTTGCTCGTGAGTAACTATGTAGAAAATTGGAAATTTTGAAATACCTAAATAGAAACAAGATAAAGTTGAATTTAAACGTCCTCAAAGTGATTTTCATTATATGAATTGCGAGCTTTAATTAAATCTTGTTACCTAACTAAGGTTCTTTTTTACTCGTTATTATCTTTATCTTCTCGTGATTTTCATAGTAATTCTAAACTTTGTGTCTCAGTNGTTCCAACTCTTAAGTTTTAATATTATAGTTTTGTGTGTTTTATTTAGTATAATTATAATTAATTTGGACTTTTCTTTGAAAAAAATATTTGGGGGTAAGGGTAAGGAAAAATCTAAAATTGGTGAATCTAGTCGCCAAGCTGCTACTCTTCCCCGGCTCCCCGACCCAGACCTGTTACCCGCCATCCTCCACTTGTTATTCTTGATAGTGATAACCCTTGTTTTCAATTTTCCGATAGTCAATTTTGCCATGATGTTGCACCAGGTCAACAATTAAATGAAGAAGTTATTAATGCTCTTTATCCTAATCAAATTATCTTTAAAAATGTAGAGGAAAATGATGATTTAGATGAAACACAACCAGATTTAGATGATACACCTACTAGTCTTGTTAATAATCCAACTGATGCCCCGCCTGACCCTCCTGTAGTAACCCTTACTTTTAATAGACAACCTTCTAAACGGCCCGAAACATCTCTTGTTTGACACTTTTTTACTCAACTAAGAGAACAAAATAAGGCTAAGTGTAAAACTTGTAGGTCTTAGATGGCTCATAAATTTACTGGAGACCGTAACGGTACGGGTAGTTTGACTAGACACATAAAGACACACCCTAGAAATAAAGCTAGATATTTACAAATGAAAGTTGCGCAAGAAGGGACAAGTGTAGATAGTACGGTTAACCCTAGTACAGGGTCAAATCTAGTTCAATCGGGAATTAACACTGTTACCGGTGGTATTTTATATTATGATCCAAATAAAGATCGTGAAGAATTGGCAAAAATGATTACTGTTATGTGCTTACCATATAGTTTTCCTTCTAACCCTCATTTTGTGCATTATATTAGAAGAGTTTTAAATCCTACTTATAAAGGATGGCCTCGCGCAACCGTAAAGAGCGATATTTATAAATACAAACATGAATATAAATAATATTTGCGCTATTTATTTACTCATATAGATTATCGCATTGCTATTACAACTGATATTGGTAGAAGTGGTAATGACTGTGATTATCTAACTATTACAAGTCATTGGATAGATGAGGACTAGATAATGCAAAAGCGCATTATTGCTTATAGAATAATTAATTCATGCCACACATGTAAGTTTATTGCTAACACAGTTGCAAATATTTGTAGATATTTTTGCATTAGAGATAAAATAATGTCGGTTTCAATAGATAATGCTTCTAGTAACACTAATGCTATAGGCTTGCTTACAACTACACTAAATCCTGCATTTAGTAATATTTTTCATAATAGATGTATTTGTCATATTTACCATTTAATCATCGGTGATGGTATGAAAGTTTTAAATATAGAAATTGAAAAGGTTAAAATGGCTCTTAATGATTTTTTTATTCAAACCGTAGAAGTAGACTTAGAGACTATTTTAACAAATGTGATAAAATTTGGCCTTAGAAAAAGAAAGGTTCCTAAACCTTGTCCGACTAGATGAAATTACATGTATGAAAGTTTAGTTGTTGCATATGAATATAGGAACCCAATAAGCGCAACGTATAATGCTCGTGTAGGTGATGATGATGGTGGTGATGATGATGATGATGATGAGCACCTTACAAATCAAGATTGGACTAATGTTAAAATGCTTGTAGACTTTTTAGAACAATTTCATGTTGCTACAAATGAATTATCTGGGCAATATTATCCTACTATTTCTAACTGTTTAGTTTATATTGCAGCACTTGCGAATTTGTTTACTCAATTTTCAGAGGGTGGAATAATTTATCAACTTGCTATTGATTCTATGAAAGCTAAGTTTAAAAAATATTTTTTCCATATCCCCCCTATTTTGGGTATTGCTGCAGTGTTAAATCCTACAATGAAATTAAGAGGTCCTCCCTTTTGGCATTCAAAAATAACGTTTTATCACTTTCAGCTGAGAAATTTGCTACACTTGGAGATGCAAAAGCCTCAATTAAAATAAATGCTCAAACAATTTATAATGCTTATCAACTTGCCTTAGATCATGCTAGACCAAATGTTCCAACTCCTACTTCGCCTAGTTCGCAATCATCTAAAAGAACTGGGGGCCTAAAAGCCCTTAGTTCTTGGACGGAGTTCAGGGGTTCTCAAGGTGATAATATTGGTGATAGTTCACAACTAAATGAGCTTCAAGTTTATTTATCGCAGGGACTTGAATCAAAGAATCCCGACGGCTCCTTCGATGTTTTGGAATGGTTGAAGGACAAACAAAAACACTATCCGATTCTTTCAAGGATGGCTCGAGATATTTTAAGTGTTCAAGCTTCAACAGTGGCATCGGAAAGCACTTTCAGTCAAGCGAGACTTCAAATCGGTGATCATAGAGTGTCTATGAGGGAGAGCTTGCAAAAATCAGTACTCTTCAGAGATTGGATCCGTTCGGAAAGAAGAAATTTTGGACTTGCAGAATCACAACCGGAGATTGACGAAGTTTATGAAGAAATGCTAGTGGAACTTGCGCAGGATGCTGCTTCGCCCGGAAGCGGTGATGAACAAGCTTTTTTTCCACCACCACCAACGAAAATTCCTCCGGACCTTGAAGAATTTATGAGATTTGTTAGAGATAATACATA